GTAAACCCACTTGCATCCAATGGGACGTATCCCATCGGGTGGTTCTACAAGATCCCCGACCTGATTGGTTTCCATGGACCCCATCTCAGCTTTCATTGAAACCTTCCACGAATTTGCATCTCTTTCTTGGAGTGCCTCAGCATAAGTTCTTGGGTCCGATTCTAGGTCTCTTGGAACTGAGTCCGATGACTCTCCAAGACCTATCCATCGGTCGGGTTGTGTAGAAACCCTCCCACTACGACGAGGTACCGTCTGTACTGGCACACTATCAGTGTTACGTGTTACAGTACTATGTGATGTATCTACTTGCGCACTCGGTGGGGAACTATCGATATCTCTCCCTAACTCCTTTAGAACAAGTTTACTACTGGGCTTATGATCTATGATATAGTCTTCTTCAAAGAATCTAGCGTTCGTACTAACGATCACCTTCTGATCCTCAGGACTATAAAACAAACCACCTTTCGTTTCCTTGGAATAGCCGACAAACAGTCTCACTTCTGATCATTTCTCCAACTTGCCAGCCTCCTGCATTAATACATGTGCAGGGAAACCCCAAATTCGAATTTGTGAGAAACTAGGCTTGCGCCCTTTCCACAACTCATAAGGAGTACTGTCTACTGACTTTGAAGGAACAGAGTTCAGAATGTAACATGCTGTCTCTAATGCAAATCCCCAAAAAGAATCTGGTAACTTCGAATAACTCATCATCGACCTAACCATTTCTATAAGAGTTCTGTTTCTTCGCTCTGCAACCCCGTTCTGCTGGGGCGTGCCGAGTGCAGTCAGCTGGGATTCAATCCTTGCTTCTGATAGGTATGTCCTAAACTCTCCAAAGAGGTATTCGCCTCCTCGATCAGATCGAAGACACTTGATACTTTTACCTTGTTGTTTCTCCACAACTGTCCTACACTCCTTGAATTTCTCAAAGCATTCGGACTTGCGGTGCAACAAGTAAAGTACCCATATCTAGAATAATCATCAATAAAAGTGACGAAATACTCATAGCCTCCTCTAGCTTGGATCGACATAGGACCACACAAATCAGAATGAATCAATCCTAGCACTTCTTGTCTCCTTCGCCCCTTTGCCGAAAATGGCCTCTTGGTCATCTTACCTTCTAGGCAGGACTCGCAAGTCTGGTAATGATCTTCTACTGGACCAAGATGCCCAGTAGATACCAACCTTTGAATCCTCCTAAGGTTGATGTGCCCAAGCCTAAGGTGCCAAAGATATGCTTGATTCATCGAAGACCTTTTTACTCTTATTAGTTTTAGTCGAGACATTATTCGATTCATTTTGTTGCAGTGTG